GGCCTCGACCCCGTGAATCTCTGCATCTCTCGTTCTTGGAGGCCTTTTGGACTGGTTGAGGCACCCGCAGTGGCTCCCAGGGATGGCCTTTGAACCCTCCTTCCCCTGCCTGTGGCGGCCTGGGGGGTGGGGCGGGCAGGTGGAGCGCCGAGCCCGGCCAGGCCCTGGCTTCCTTCCGCTTGGTAAGAGCATGTGGTGCGTGCGCGTGGGGCGGCTGTGGCGTCAGGCTGGCTTGTCTCGGGGCCCAGGTCCGGGTTGATGGCTCCCAGTACGCCCACCTGTACGAGACCGTGCCTGTGGTGGATGGCAGCCCCATACTCCGGGACCTGCTCTTCAGCCCTGACCACCGGCACATCTACCTCCTGAGTGAGAAGCAGGTGGGCCCGAGGCGGGCGGCGGCGGGTGGCGGGCTGGGGGCAGGGCGCGTGCTGACGCGGCCGTCCCCAGGTGAGCCAGCTCCCGGTGGAGACGTGCGAGCAGTACGTGAGCTGCGCGGCCTGCCTCGGCTCGGGGGACCCCCACTGTGGTTGGTGTGTGCTGCAGCACAGGTGAGGGCGGCCGTGGGGGGCCCTGCTCCGCGCCCGTTTCTCCGCTCACGCCCTCGTGGCCTCATCCTCCGTCCCCTTGTACTTCACCCAGCCAACGAGCAGAACCTCTATCCCCAGGGACGCCCCTTGGGCCGCAGGGGACGAGGCCAAGGCACACTGTTGCCTGGCACGGTGGGCTGGGCCGGCCGGCCCCTCTTCCCTGCAGGCCTCCGCGACTCCCCTGGCGCGGGCCCTCCGGGGCAGCTGCGTAGCGGGCTGTGGCCTGATCCCACGCAGGTGCTGCCGCCAAGGGGCCTGTCCGGGTGCCTCAGCCCCGCACGGCTTTGCCGAGGAACTGGGCAAATGTGTCCAGGTGCGGGTGCGGCCCAACAATGTTTCGGTGAGCTCGCCTGCTGTGCAGGTGAGTGGCGGGGTGGGTGCGGCTGTGCGGGCCTGTGCGCGGGCTGAGGCGGGGGCGGCGGCGGCGGCGGGGGGGTCACCTCCTCTTCTGACTCCTCTGCCTCCCCCAGCTGACGGTGGCCATGCGCAACGCGCCGGACCTCAGCGCTGGTGTGAGCTGTGCCTTTGAGGAGGTGACGGAGAGCGCGGCCGTCGTGCTGCCCTCCGGGGAGCTGCACTGCCCCTCGCCCTCCCTCCAGGAGCTCCGCGCTCTCACCCGGGGGCATGGTCAGTGGGCTGGGGCTCTCCGGGCTGGGGGCGCTCGCCGGCCCGGGCTTGCTCACGGCCACCCCTGGGCTCGCTGCAGGGGCCACGCGCACCGTGCGGCTGCAGCTGCTCTCCAGGGAGACTGGGGTGAGGTTCGCCGGGGTCGACTTCGTCTTGTACAACTGCAGCGCGCTCCAGTCGTGAGTCCTGGCTTTTCTGCCGCCGTCCCCGCAGCTCTTCGTCCCTTGCTGGGCCGTGCGGGCCTCAGGCGGGCCCTGGCGGCCGCCTTCCTTCCGTTTCCCGCACGGCCTGTAGGAGGGTGGTCGGAGGGGCAGGCCCGGTGCTCTGCGACCTCTGAAGCCTCTCCCCGCCAGGTGCATGTCCTGCGTCGGCAGCCCTTACCCCTGCCACTGGTGTAAGTACCGTCACGTGTGTACCGGCCACCCCCACGAGTGCTCCTTCCAGGAGGGCAGGGTCCACAGCCCTGAGGTGAGGCGGGCGCCGGGCGCGAGGGGGCCGGGCTCCCCGTGGGCTGGCCTCTGGCTTCTGCCTTTGCTCGCCTGGGTTTCTCGGAGCCTCCTCGGTCCGGGCCTAGCCCAGCTGGGCCCCGGGGCGGCGCCGCCGAGCGCGTGCGGCTGATGGGCGTTCTCCCCTCAGGGCTGCCCTGAGATCCTGCCCGGCGGGGACCTCTTGATCCCAGTGGGCGTCATGCAGCCTCTTACCCTGCGGGCCAAGAACCTGCCGCAGCCGCAGTCAGGCCAGAAGAACTACGAGTGCGTGCTCCGGGTGCAGGGGCGCCAGCAGCGGGTGCCGGCCGTGCGCTTCAACAGCAGCAGCGTGCAGTGCCAGAACGCCTCGGTGCGCGCCCCCGGGGCTGCGCGCGGTTGCGCAGGGCTGCGCGGGGCTGCGCGCGCTCTGGGCTCACGCTCACGCGGCTCCCTCTCTCCCAGTACTCCTATGAAGGCGACGAGTCCGGCGACACCGAGCTGGACTTCTCTGTGGTCTGGGACGGGGATTTCCCCATCGACAAGCCTGCCACCTTCCGAGGTGAGGGGCGGGGTGGGGCCGAGGAGCTCGCCTCCTGGGGCACCGTTGCCGTGAGCTGGCCGCCCCCAGCGGTGCCCTCTGTCCGCAGCTCTCCTGTATAAGTGCTGGGCGCAGCGGCCCAGCTGCGGCCTCTGCCTCAAGGCTGACCCTCGCTTCAACTGCGGCTGGTGCGTCTCGGAGCACAGGTGCCAGCTGCGGGCGCACTGCCCAGCCCCCAAGACCAACTGGATGCACCCGAGCCAGAAGGGCACCCGCTGCAGCCACCCCCGCATTGCCCAGGTGGGCCTCCCCCGCCCCTTTCGGTCGGCCGGGCACCCGACGCGAGCCTGGGCTCACCCTGTCGCCTCTCCTCCTGCTCTGCAGATCCACCCGCTCATGGGGCCCAAGGAGGGAGGCACCCGGGTCACCATCGTGGGCGAGAACCTGGGCCTCAGCTACCGAGAGGTGGGCCTGCGGGTCGCGGGCGTGCGCTGCAACTCCATCCCCTCTGAGTACGTCAGCGCCGAGAGGTGAGCGCGGCTGTGCGGGTGCCGGGGCCCTGGGCCCTCCGCCGCGGGCCCTGACCTTCTCGGACCCCTAGGATCGTGTGTGAGATGGAGGAGTCGCTGGTGCCCAGCCCGCCGCCAGGGCCTGCGGAGCTCTGTGTGGGCGACTGTTCCGCTGACTTCCGCACGCAGTCCGAGCAGCTCTACAGCTTTGTGGTGCGTGGGCTGCCCGCCCTTTCCCCTCCCACCCCTTCCGAAGCCTGCCCCCCCCCCGCCCCGCCCCGCCCCGGCTGCCTCCTCCCTCCCCTCAAGGCTGCTTCTTGCACAGACGCCAGCATTTGACCGCGTGAGTCCCAGTCGGGGCCCGGCGTCCGGGGGCACACGGCTCACCATCTCCGGGAGCTCGCTGGACGCCGGCAGCAGGGTCACTGTGACTGTGAGGGACGGCGAGTGCCAGTTTGTGAGGTGGGCAGGGCCCCGTTAGCCTCAGCCTGGGCGCTGCATAGGGGGCCCCAAGGGCACGTGGGTCATGGCCCTGGGCTGCCTGCCCTGAGTGCCCTGCTTGCCAACGTAGGAGAGATGCTGAGGCAATTGTGTGTATCTCACCCGTATCGACCCTGGGCCCCAGCCAGGCCCCCATCACCCTGGCCATCGACCGCGCCAACATCTCCAGTCCTGGAGTCTTCTACACCTACACCCAGGACCCCACTGTCACTCGCCTTGAGCCCACCTGGAGCATAATCAAGTAAGACCCTAGGAAAAATGGGGAGCCTGGCCAGCAAAGCCTGGGGCCTTGCCTGGTGACTGGAGCCTTGGGCATCAAGTTACACATCCTGTGAACCCGAGCCCTCATAGGCACAGGGGGCAGTGTCCTCCCAACAACACAGCCCCTGGCATTCACCCGGTGCCCCCAGGCCCAGGAGGCCCTGGGCTCCCCAGCAGCCCGGATAGCTCTCCAGGGCCAGGCTGGGGGGCAGTGGGGGAGGGAGCCTGAGGCCCCTCCCCCACTGCCCCCAGTGGAAGCACTGCCATCACTGTGAGCGGGACCCACCTACTGACAGTCCAGGAGCCCCGGGTCCGGGCCAAGTACCGAGGCATCGAGACCACCAATGTGAGCGCACCAGCTGCTGTCGCCCCGCCCCCTGCCCCTGCCCCCTGAGGCCTCACGTGCCAGGCTGCCCTCCTTTGTCCCCACAGACGTGCCAGGTGATCAACGACACCGCCATGCTATGTAAGGCCCCCGGCATCTTCCTGGGACGGCCCCAGCCCCAGGCCCAGGGTGAACACCCCGACGAGTTCGGCTTCGTGCTGGATCATGTGCAGACGGCCCGCTCCCTCAACCGGTCCTCCTTTACCTACTACCCTGACCCCAGCTTTGAGCCACTTGGGCCCTCTGGTGTCCTGGATGTCAAACCTGGCTCCCACGTGGTGCTGAAGGTATGGGTGGGGCACAGGGACGGGGAGAGGCAGGGGGGTGGGGAGCCCCGGCTGTGACCGTGTCCTCCACCCACAGGGCAAGAATCTGATCCCCGCAGCGGCTGGCAGCTCCCGGCTCAACTACACGGTGCTGATCGGGGGCCAGCCATGCGCCCTCACGGTCTCCGACACGCAGCTGCTGTGTGACTCGCCCAGCCAGACGGGCCGGCAGCCTGTCATGGTGTGTGGGGGGTGGGGAGGCCGCCAGGGGCGAGCGCGGTGGGCGCGGCGGCGAGCTCAGGGCGGACTTGTCCCCGCAGGTGCTGGTGGGCGGCCTGGAGTTCTGGCTGGGTACCCTGCACATCACGGCTGAGCGGGCGCTGACCCTGCCGGCCGTGGTGGGCCTGGCGGCAGGCGGTGGCCTCTTACTGCTGGCCATCACCGCCGTGCTGGTGGCCTATAAGCGCAAGACCCAGGATGCCGACCGCACGCTCAAGCGGCTTCAGCTGCAGATGGACAACTTGGAGTCCCGCGTGGCTCTGGAATGCAAGGAAGGTGCCTGGGCCGGGGGG